GTCGTCTAATAAGGCCCGGTCGGGTAAGTCAGCCTATAGCCGACTAATTCGGCCTGGACGTCTAAGTTGGCCTATCTGCGGCATTGCGGGTTATTATTCGACTCTCTAATCGCTATAAAGAGGAGTTCTCTTGGCAGAGGTCACCCGTCCGGAGGCCATAATTAACATTCCGGCAAATATTATAATTTACACTATAAAAAGCTAATTCAATACTATCAGTATAGTATACAGTTAAAAATACTCCTAATACCTAACCACAATATCTTAGTAGGTATAGTAATTCGGTAAAAAGTACCTATGTAGGTATCATAATTAGTTAAGAGGTACTTATCTAAATAGTTACCTACTTTTACTAAGTACTAATACCTACGCGGACATCATTTAATTACAACCCAAAAACCCCTATAACCAAAACTACCATTTATTTTTTAACTCAAAACGAGACATGGGTTTATTTATACTCTAAAAACTATAACTTTATACAATTATTGTTCACTATAAAATTATCGGTATAGAGGGTAATTATTAAATGCAAAATATTTTTTTAAATTATTAATTACAATTGTAAGTGGATTAAATTTGCTTTAATAAAATTGGTGATGATTTAAAAAAAGAATAAAATTCTGGGCAAGTTTTTTTATTGTTACCTTTGTTAACAACATCGCCTTTGGAACTGGAACCGTAAGTGTTTTTTTCAGACGTCCACAATTTATTCAAAATAGAATAATACTCTTTCTACTGGAGCATTTGTACCAGGTAGACATAAAATATATTCGATTAAAAAAAATTATGTTGAAGATTGTTGGCTTTGTATACTTCCATTCAACGAGTTACGGGACAATGTTTTGTCCAGGAGCTTTATTTGGGGACAATGGTACAGGTGACCGAGAAAAGGGACAGTCCCGTTCAAAACGGGACGTATGGTCACTTTACCTATAACCTGGCGTCGGCTCCGTGGCGCAGTGGCTTAGCAATCAGTTGTTGCGGTGGGGGCCGCGGGTTTGAATCCCGCACGGAACAAATATTTGTATGGCCTACAAATAATTGTTCCGGGTCTGGATGTTTGTCCTTGTGCAATTTATGTTTGTAAACTGCCTCCACGACACAGGAGAAAATCCTAGTGTGGGGGGGGGGGGGACGTTTTTTTTAAAATTTGAAATTGAAAGATTGAACCCTTATACTTCTTGTTGCTTTTTGTATTACCTTTATTAAAGTTACCCTTATGTATAAATAAATATAATTACGTATGTAGAAATAAAATTGAATAAAAATAAAAACAAACATGTTTTTTTTTTCATCCTCATCAATTACTGGGGTGAGGATAATGTCAGCCAGCATAAGTAATAAGCAGGCTAAGTTACAAGGTGCTCAGTTCAAAAATTAGTAGGTAGGTATGTTACTTTCAATACGTGACACGTAAGAATTAACAATAATCAAAAACACATCTGCGAAACATCCTATTTATTTATTTATTCTTTATTGCACCAAATATTTGCACAAAAGGCGAGCTATTTATCTATTTACCTATAGTGAGTAGGTATCTTTTAAACTCACAATGTTCAATGCTTCATTTTTAATATATAATTAATTATAAAATTTCCAATTAAAAAATTAAAATATATTTATAAGTGCGCCGTGTGTATTTCCATTTTCCATAAAATAGTTTATTGATGTTGAGAAAATAATACTACGTTCGTACAGTAGGTGGCGTCTTGCATATTTCTTACGCGATATATTGTAGTGAGTCGGCGCAGCGGACCAAATGCTTAAGTTCGTTCGCATGGAGTAGCCCCTTAAACAAATTACTTATCCAATTTCGAGATGAAATAAATTTTGAAGGTGGACGTACAAGCTTACATTATGGAAAATATTAAAACTACTCGGATATAAATATAAAAGTGTCACTCCAAACGAAAAATATTAGTGGTGCAAACAGATATAGCTGCCTGTCGATTTAATTATACTTGAGTGAAATCAAAAAATACCGAGAAGAGGAGCGGACTATAGTCTATTTAGACGAAAGATTTATTCATTCCTCATATAGGGTGCAAAAATGTTAGCAGTAAGAGTCTGAAGAAGGTGTGTTGGCCAGAGATTCTGGTACGGGTAAACGATGGATAATTGCAGACGCTGGAGCAACAAACGACTTCATTAATAATGCGTTACTACATTCAAGTCACAAACAAAATCATCCGACTACCATGACGACACGAATAGCGATAACTTGTAAAATGGTTGGAGAAACAAGTTTTACCAAACCTGCCACCTAATTATGTGATTGTGATGGACAATGCAGCATATCACACTGTACAAACAAATATAAGCCCCAATAAGGCCTAAAATGGTTTCTAATAAAAAAAACTCGAGCCCATATATAAAGCTGACGAATTAATGAAATCACATGGTAAATATGTTTCTTCATATCATGCGATAAAAATATAATTAAGTTATTATGGAGTGTAAGGAAAAGATGGTTCGCAGAGAAAAATGTGGGCCAGAAAGTAGATCAAGTGAAATCACTTATAAAAGAAGCGTTTCGCATAAAAAGTGCTCACATGTTATAAACATTTTAGATAAGTACATAATGAAAGATAAAATAATAGATGAAGGAAGTGATCGCTTTTATTGTGGGTTGGCTGTGACAGTGAGCATTCAAGTAACATTGAAGAATATATAATTCCTTTACTCGTACATCTTATGGATCATTAGTGACAAAGTGATTAATTTTTATCCTGTCTTAATTAATTTATCCTGAATGTTCCTAATGACGTATGAATAATTTCAGAGAGAGTATACTATGACACTTAAAAAGCGACATAAGTATAGTCATCAGTACGTCAGTACTAACAGTTGAATTACGAAATTAAGTTCCTTACTCCTACGAAATAAGGACGTTTTCAAGGTTTAACTGTAACTGTGCACTAAGTATGTTTGACTTTACATGCCAGGTTTGTTCCATAATTCCTGTCCCAACATTTCGGGAACGCTATTCGTATTGAAACATGCAACATTGCAAATTACAGTGTTGTCACCTGTTAATCGGATTACGCGTCAAGCTACAATGAACGGAATATACGCCGATATACTAAAGCTAGGTAGTAAACAATAAATTAAATACAAAGACCATCAAATTAGGAAATATTTTGTTACCATATCAGTGGCCATATCCATTCATTGTCTAGCAATAATAAGTTTAGCTTTAGTACTACGATGTTTAACGTTATTTTGCTCTATATGTTTGGTCGTGAACCTATATTATTTACTTACCTATATCTGGGGGCCCGCCAAGTCAAGCAAAAAAGCGGCACGGCCGTACCATCCTTTTCTCGAAACAGTTCAGGCCATTTTCGAAACCCTATAACTTCGTTGTAGATGAAACTAGAAGCCTGAATTTTCAGTAACCAAGTAGGTATTGTATAATCTCGATATGTTTAAAATTTTATTAAATTTGAACTAGTAGTTTAAGAATTATAACTAGTCAAAGTTTCTTAATTTTGTCACTCACTGACTGACCGATCATCAAAACTCTAAGGCACTTCTAGCAGACATAACAAACAGACAGACATAGACAAAGCTTTTGTAGTATGTAGATTGTGAGCTTGTCAGTCAAATGAAAGAAAACATAACTACATCAAAATTGTTATTATAAAAAATAATTACTTATAAATCTGAAATTTATACAATTCCATATTATATAAACTAAAAATATCAGGAAAATGTAATTTAACTGCTTTGCAGCGTAAACATTTCCAACATAAAGCCATTAGATAAATAAGCCACTGCTTACATAGTTTTGAACATATTTTTTTAAGTAATGAAAAAAGAATAAAAAACAAGTTTCAAAGTTTGTTAAACTATATAACACTAATTATAATACTACGTGTTTTGATTAATAATCTTTGGTTATTTTAAGTTGTAGGTAACAAGGCGAGATTAAAAATCACTATTACTTATTTATATAATTATGTAAGCACAAAACATAAATGTAAATTGACATAATATCGGGACTTGAAGCAGATAATTTGCGTCACATCTATTCCGCACCGCTTAGATCGTAGATGCACAGACCGCGGCCTGCGGGCCGCATGCGGCCCGCTGGTCGAATACTGGTGGCCCGCCGACAGCAAAAATAATACTCTCGTACATTCGAAAAATATTGAATTATATTCCAGAATAGAACCAAAAAAGATATGTTCGAAAAGTAATTTGAATCTCGCGCGCGCGCTCTTAAGTTCATTTATCGGTACGCCGTGCATGCGTCGGTAACAGTGGTCGGTAATGTTCGTGCTGATCTCGGTAAAATTCGTTTTCTTGAGAAACCGCCGCGGCCGGTGGCGCGGCGACGACGGCAGCGCGGTGGCGGCTTATCCACGGGTTATATTGTTAGAGCAAGCGAGAAAGCAATAGTCCCGAATTCCCGATTGCTCGCGTAGGTAGATACACGAAGCTTCCAGAGTCGGTTTCGTGATTTCTCCAGACAGTTTTCGACTCTATACGCGCGGTATAAAAGCCACGCTAACCGCAGCGACCGACAGTTCGGTTTTAATTTGAGTGAAGTGTCAGTAGTTCTAGTGTAGATTTTAACTTGACTAGCCGGTGTCATATATTTTGATCCACATTCAACGTAGATTTCCCGTCAAGTGCCGTGTATAATTGTGTTGTGAAATCGTAAGTAAAATTCTGTTATTAATAAGTGTTTCCCTACCTATTTAATCAATTATTTTTGGTAATTTAAAAAAGGATGGGTAATTTAAGTAGGTACTGTAATTGTTTTTAGGTGCTGTGTTAATCCTAGCCAGGATTAGATCGCACCATGGACAAGCAGGCAGTTTCAAGAAATTTGGACTGAGAAATACTTTTTTGTATGGTCGCATAACAAAGTCGTTTGTTTAATTTGCAAGAATTCTGTTGCGATTGCAAAGGAATATAATGTAAAAAGACACTATGAAACACAGCATCCTACTTTTACCAAGTTTACAGGCGAATTAAGAAAGCAAAAAATGTTGTCTTTAAAACGGGAGCTTATTGGTCAGCAAGCTATGTTTACAAAACCCATTCAAGATTTAGAAACAGCTACAGAAGTTAGTTATGAAATTTCTCGAATGATAGCAAAGCGAAGTCGCCCCTTCAATGTTGGGGATTTTGTAAAAGAATGCATAGAAATTGCCGCTAAGAAAATGTGTCCAGAAGCAGCAAAAAAGTTTGAGAAAATTCAACTGAATCGTATGACTATCCAAAGACGAATTATGTCTTTGGCAAGTAATATTGCGGAACAATTAAATGAAAAAACTAAGATCATTGAATTTTTTTCATTAGCACTCGACGAATCCACTGATATTAGTTCCACAGCTCAACTTCTGATTCATACGAGGTGTTACTCAAGATTTTGAAGTCTTACAAGAGTTATTAGGAATGTGTTCATTGAAAGGTCAAACCAGAGCAGTTGATATACTAAATGTAGTTTTGGATGAGTGTTCAAAAACTGATTTGGACTTATCAAAATTATCGGGAGTTGCGACTGACGGTGCTCCTTCGATGATTGGTGTCAATTCTGGGCTAGTTACTTTGCTGAAAAAGCATCTGCAAGAAAAAAACATAAACGCTGAAGATCTGATGCAGTTTCACTGCATTATACACCAAGAAGCCCTCTATTCTAAAAAAATTGAATTTCAAAATGTCATGAAAGTGATAGTTTCGACTGAAAAATTCATAAAATCACGAGGACTCAATCACAGGCAATTCAAACAATTCCTTGATGACATCAAAAGCGAATATGGAGATTTACTGTATTATACAGAAGTAAGGTGGCTAAGTCGTAGATTGACACTGGAACGATTTCTAAATTTAATAGAAGAAATTGGAATATTTCTTGCGGAAAAGCAAAGGGATGTCCCGAAACTTAAAATTCCTGATTGGTTGTATGATTTGGCTTTTTTAATTGATATTACAAATCATTTGAATGTCTTGAACACACGGCTTCAAGGCAAAAATCAACTGATATCCCAGCTCTACGCTCACGTATCATCTTTTCAATCCAAGCTGACACTTTTCAGATCACAATTGAATTTTGGAAATTACAATCATTTTCCGAATTATAAGAAAATGGTTGAAAAATTCAACAAAACTGCGATTCATTTCAGTTATGTAGAAAAGCTAGATATTTTGATTCAATCTTTTCAAGACAGATTTTCGGAGTTTAAAAAAGTGAAACCTCTGTTGGACATATTCAGCAATCCTTTCACGATTTCAGTTGAAAATTGCGCCAGAGTCAATGCAGTTAGAAATTATCGACATTCAAAACGACCAAGATTTACGCAACAAGTTCAACGAAGGAGACTTGCTGAACTTTTACCGCTGCATTGATAAAAATACGTACAAAGAGTTGCGCATAAACGCTCTGAAATGTGCCAGCTTATTTGGTTCTACCTATATATGTGAACAAACCTTTTCAATACTAAATAATAATAAAACAAAAAATCGAAACCGCCTTGCAAATGAAAGTTTGGAAGCAGTTTTACGTGTTGCTACAAGTAAATTTGAGCCAAATATAAAAAAGATTGTCAGCACTATGCAGTGCCACGCTTCAAATTAATAAATTCCTTTTCAATTTTAATACATTATTATAAATTCTTTATTGTCTTTAATTACCTATACTTCTGGCGGCCCGCCATCAGTTCATAATTTGCCCGAGTGGCCCCTAGTCTTAATAATCTTATATACAGTATGGTTTATGTAGCTATGGTCGTACATTTAATACTTATTTAAACAAAATATATAACCTCCAGATAAGAATCCTTAAAAACATTGTAGCAGACAAGATTCGACGTCAATTTCATGATGACGATAGTATGCTCTTTAAGCACTGCAATATACTACCAGTTCATACACAAGTCAAATATTTACTTTTAAAAATACACTTTTTTAATGAAAAGTTAAAATTAGAAATTAAGCACCCCGTGTGTACGCGCGCCGTAAGCAGCCGCAAGCTGCAGACGAGCCAGGCAAACAATATGTACGGGGAACGAACAGCAAATTACATTGTTCCACGACTTATAAACAAGCTACCCCCAGATTTTCGCGATAACTTAAATATAAAAAACATTAAAAAAAAATTAAAATATTTTAATTTATAAAAAAAAATTACTACTTGAAACAGCGTATATGCGTTTGCTCAGGTCCTAATTAGGCTGTAATGTTTCCTTTTTACAAACTATATTAATTATACTTAATGTAACGTCGACTCTGGTCGCGTCATCACAAACCTTAGTGGTTTTCTGTATGCGACTTTTTAGTATAGTTTTTTTTGTAATGCTTTGTAATATGGTAAATATTTAAAAGAAAAAAGTCTGTGCATCACTGGCTTAGATACTTTTTAACTCGTATACCGAGCGTCTCTGTTAAACAATAAAATACAAATATAATGAATGATATATTTACCTACTAGATAGAACTAAATCATATGGGCACACTAAGTATATTTACTGTAGGAATTTCTATCTGGTGTAATCGTAAAACCTCAAGTATTTGGAATTTTAATGTATAAATATCAAAATTAAACATTTATAATAGAACACTTAAATGTTAATATAACTTTAAGACGTCAAGCTGTCATGACAATATATTTATAAATTAATTTATAAAATTGGTTTATATTTATAAAATATGGCTGTGAATACCGTGAAATGTAGCAATTGTAATATTGTAATATGTGAGTTACTGGCTTTTGTACAAAATAATGGACGAAGATAGCATTACTCGTCTGTGCAATACGGCATTTTCAAGTAATGAAATCACAGAGGCTAAGAAATTACTTTTTGAGTCCTTGAAAATGAATAACCACAATAGAATTAGAAAAAGAGACGGCAAAAGTAAGCGAGAAATCACGGATATTATTTGTGCTATAAAAGAGTCGGACCCTGAGCTTTTACCTATCTTTGTAGCAAGAGATTTACGTCTTCCGCCAATCATATTTGATCACATCGACGCGACTAGACTCTTAAGGCTTTAACTAGCCTGAATGACCTTGACGAAACGGCGATCGCAGAGATTTTAGCCGATGTCAACACCGTCTAGCAACTACGTTCTGTATTACTTATAAAAGTGCAAAGATTAATAGACTGCAGAGATGACAATTATATAAGTGACATACTGCCTGTTATGCTTGCGCATCACTGAGAATTATGTCGCGGTTACGCATCTTCAATTACATTGCACGGTGTGGTGCTGTAGCTTTGAGCTATCAAGTGTTCAAGTTTCAAGTACGTAAGAATTTTTAATATATATGTTAAATCGTATTTATTTGTGTCGTATTAAAAATATGTCGTCAAAGCGTTCGCTGTAAATTTTCCCGGATTTGATCCCCGACGGCACGAATGAAATTTGTAATTGCAATTTTCGTCAACACGCATTGGGGAAGCACGGCGGGCATTTCCTTGCCCTAAAACCCTACCAGAAATAAAAAAAAGAGTCCTGTGCCCAGTAGAGGGACTTGTATAGCCTATTACTTTACTTTGTAGCAATATTTATATTCGTTTCAGATATAGAAGGGTACCTTATGCTGACAAAAATATCATGTGGAGGGGACGAAAAGGTAAAACATCTTTGTACCTAGATAAAACGTTCGAAAGATTGTCAGTCATGTCATACGCCACATTTTCTATAGAGCGTAGACTATTGCAGATAGGGCAAAATAAAAAATAATCCAATATATTATGGGAACTATTTATTAATAATATATACATTTATAGGTATTTATAATAAAAATAATGAACAAGCTGCAAGGTTAAACTAATAATGTTTTTTTGTAAACACAATCGTAAAATTCCTGTTCTAATTTTTACCAATGGTTAATTGATGAAACGTAGTCAAGATCACTTCATATAAAATATATTTAATTAAAATTGACACGTGACCTATTTGGCCTTCTACTTACAACTCGGCGGAAATTTGAAAAGAAGATTTTGTCTTTTCACACAAGTATTGTTTACAACTGGCATGGTTTCGAAAAGCGTGATTAAGTGTCAGCGGTATATAATCAATTAAATACTGAACTTTATTGAAATTTATTTTTTTATTTATTTTTGTTATATCTTCTTAAGAACTGACGCCATCTCACTATTTTATTATTTGTTTTTTTTTGTACGCATAAGGATAAATTAGACTAAGTTAGATTAACTTGGATAAGTTTATATTTTTTTTAATTTTATCACAAAATTTCCGCAATAAATTATTACCTTTTCTACAGTGATTCTCTTCTCTTAGTTTCGGCGTGACTGTAGGATGTTATGATATTATATATTATATGTATAGACATACATATATACATTTTTTGATTTTAATATTTATGTTTTTTGAATTTTGATTGATATTTTGAAACCTGGTAAAATTACTTTTTTCCATACCAATTGATGGGCCTGAGTATAATGCCAGTTATGCTCTGTGGCTGAAGTTATTTTTTATTTTATGCTCAATTGCAGACAAAACAATATTGATTGCGCATTTCTAAAACAAAATTTTACCTCTTCTCCTTCTAATAATAGCTCCTGCACCTAACACGGCGGAATAGTTATTATTATCTATAAGACCATTTGGGAAAACAGTTTTTGTTAACAGTTATGAGTGTAACATTTTATTAGCTGCTTTGTTTATAGTGCCTTGAGCAACACTTTGCCGGTTTCTGTACAGAAAAATATGCTGGCTTTGCAAATACGGATGGCCGCTATCATTGAATATAATTCCCGCTATGTTACACTTATTTACATAGAAACTTTAATTATCATTTGTTTAAAATTCTAAATAGCACATTTTACACAAGAAAGTAAACTTTTAGATCAGTCCATTTTGTTTTTCACTAATTAAGTAAAAAGTAAAACAAACCACTATTGGTTTAAAGACCACAGATAAATTAAATGTTGACTTGAATTCGATAATATCACAAAGTGCCAAACCACCAAAGTTTTATGAAAGCTTTTACAAAAATTTACTTCGCAAATATCCGCGTTATAAAATAAAATGATGTGTCTTACCTAGTATGAAGAGCACCTCCCGCCCTCCCTCAATTGCGTGCACTATCCCCGTCACCACTAATCCCAGCACCGGTACTCCTATTAGTGGTGACGCTATTAGTGGTAACGGGGATAGTGCACACAATTGAGGGAGGGCGGGAGGTGCTCTTCATACTAGGTAAGACACATCATTTTATTTTATAACGCGGATATTTGCGAAGTAAATTTTTGTAAAACCTTTTATATAATGGATTTCCCCAAAGTAACGTTTGTTTGGTGGGAAGAAATTTTAATTCCCGGCCATAGGGCCGGGAATTAAAATTTCTTCCAACTTTTTATAGAAAAGCATGACCTTATCATAATATAAAAGTCAATCATTTAGCCAT